CTCGCTGCGAGGGCCGCGCGGGGGCGAGCGCGCGCGTGCCCCCCCTCCCAGAGGAGAGGAGGAGGAGGAGGAGGAGGAGGAGGAGGAGGAGGAGGAGGGGGAGGAGGAGGAGGAGGAGGAGGAGGAGGAGGAGGGGGAAGGGGGAGGAGGAGGAGGAGGAGGAGGAAGAGGAGGAGGAGGAGGAGAAGGAGGAGGAGGAAGGAGGAGCGCGCCGCCCGACCCCACGAGGAGGAGGAAGGGGCGGGCGGGAAGGGCGCGGGGGCTGGAGATCGGATCGGATCGGGTGGGCGCTCTCGCCGGCAAGATGATCGGTTTGGGATCGCCCCATCGGTTTCATTGGCGGAGCTCGGCGCCCTGGCGCGAACGGCCGAACAACCCCTGCAGCGGGACACGCTGGCAACGCGGTTGGCCGCCACAAAAATCCTCGAATTAACGCTGACCGCGCAAAGGCGCCCCCGCAAACGCTACACGCAGGAGTGGCCCCTGGGGTAAGAGTGGCCTTCGGTGCGCGGCTCCTGGCGGGCCGCGCGGGGGGCCTGAACACAACAGCGCAAGACGCTGCCATGGCGTCGCGCGGCGATCGGGGGACCCCAGTAGGCCCGCACCAAAGGTCACTCTGGCGAAACGTCACTCTCACGTCTGGTCGGTGCTCGTGGTCAGCCTGCAAGGGCGCCCCGGCACTCCGTAGGGCAAGGAGGCCAAAAAGAAGAGAGCTGGGATGCCCCATATCACCCTGCCCTGTCCGAACGGCCAGGCAGGCAGCTCGAGAAGAGGGGGGGCGAAAGCCCAAAGGGGGGCAGAGAGCTGCCCGAGAAGTCTTTGGCTGTGGTCCCCGGGCCTGAAGAAGCCTCGGGGTGCCCCGTGGAGGCCTCCGGGGAACTTCGGAGACCTGGGACGGGACGTCCAAAGGTGCGCCGCTACCTCGGGGGGCTGGCCCCTGGAGGCCTCTGGCGGGGGGAGCGGGGGGAGGACGCAGAGGAGAAGAGGGGGGCGCAGGATGGGAAGGAAGGAGAACCGAGGAGAACCAAAGTGAAGGACAGATCCTCATCACTATGTTCTTGTATAACTATCATCATGCTCGTCCTCGCCCTTGCCATCCACCTCGTCTTCGTCATCATCTTGCCCCTCTCGTCTGCACAAACTTTTTCTTTTCCTCTCGGAAGAGAAGGAGGAGGAAAATTCTCCCGCTCGCGCGCTAGCGAGCTGTCTCCGAGCGCGGCCGCGGCTCGCGCGCGCGGGGCGGCCCAAAATGGGCAGGCCCGTCCCGCGCGCTCGTGCCGGGGCGCCGCGCGTCAGGCGGGGGAGACCGCCTGCTCGCCGACGACGGCGAGGCAGCGCCCATCAGCCTTAGATTGGGAGAGGAGGGAGGGGGGCAGAGAAGCTGCGGAGACAGCAGGAGCTTGCTCACAGAGAATAGAAGAGGCATTCTCCCGCTCGCGCGCTAGCGAGCTGTCTCCGAGCGCGGCCGCGGCTCGCGCGCGCGGGGCGGCCCAAAATGGGCAGGCCCGTCCCGCGCGCTCGTGCCGGGGCGCCGCGCGTCAGGCGGGGGAGACCGCCTGCTCGCCGACGACGGCGAGGCAGCCATACCCGTGCTCAAGGACCTTGCGAAGTGACAAGGTTTCGGCGGGCGGCCGCAAGTAGGGCAGGCCAAGCGGCGGGGCCGACTTGGAGAAATGAAGCGACAAGGCGGTCGCTGGCGGTGGCGAAGAACAGGATCCGCGCCCGTGCGGGCTCGGGCAGCGCAGCAAGAACTGTGGAAGCGGCGGCGGCTTGCAGGTAGCGCTCAGCACTGGAAGCCTGACGCCAACGCCCCCGCCAGAAGACGCGAGGGACGTCTTCCGTAGCGATATAGAAGTCTGTTGCGCCAGAGCCCCGCAGACATGCGGGCGTCAGGTTGAGCCCCTGACCCGCTTTGGCAAGAGGGACGCCCAGGGCCGAAAGCAAATGATTCCACCGAGTACGGAAGCCGCTCGCACCGAAAGGGGCGAGAGGATCGGTGGAAGCCAACCGCCCAAACACTTGATTCAGAATCTTCACCGTGCCCCGATCGGAGCAGCGAGCATGCTGCGTCGGGTACGTTCTCCTGGTCTTTGGAACAAGAATCGAAAGAAAAGCATCCCCTTCAACTTCGAGGCGGTCGCAAGGAAGCGACAAGTCACAGCGGCGTGACGCCAGCAGCTCGCCAGGCCTGAGGAACATCGTAAAGCCCATGAGCAGCAAGGCCGCCATCACAGGCCAGTCCCAGGCGAAACAGAGACCGACCATAGCGCGCAGCAGAGCGCGAGGTAAGGGCGGGCGGAGCTTTGGCGGCTCCGCGAGCTTCCATTGTCTCGCTACGTCCCAAGCTTCTGTTAGAAAGGCCTTCCAATGCGGATGAGCGCTCTGGATTCCCAAGATGGCATGAACCAGAATATAATGAGGGAAACCTGCATCATGAAGCCACACGCCGAAGGTCGCGAGGAAGCGGGCGAGAAGTAGCCCGCTACGGTAAAGAGTGGCGGGCGGCACGCCAGTGTGTTCTGCTAACCACAGTTCGAACGCATCAATCGATCTCGAGCGACGATCGAGATACGCGGAGGTGAGGTGAGAATCGCGCACGAAGGGAGTGCGCGGAGGGCGAGCGGGCGCAGAAGGCGCAGCCCGACTAAGCCCTTGGCCTGCGGTCGGCGCCGCGGCTCCCAGAGAGATGCAGAGGCCGCAGACGCACCACAGGATGAGCGCAGGGCGGCCAGGGCTGGGAGAGCTGATCAGCGTGGCGGCCCTCCTGCTCCTGGACGCGTAGAAGGGCGGAACGAGGGTGTCCCGCCCGTCGGTCTCGAACCCCGACGCCTCCGCCAGCATCGCCCGCGCCGAGGTGAAGGATCCGCCCATGTTACGGTGAGCACGGCGAGCCCCTGCTTCGATGTCGGCGGGCAGAGCGCCCCCTCCCTCGAGGGTCGCCCAGTCAAAGGGCGGGCGCGGCTCGGCGCGCGCAGCTGCGGCCGATTCGGCGAGCTCGGAACGAGCTGCCGAGGACGTGAGGCCCGAATGATGTGGAACGGGCACCACCTCCACGAACGCGTCGAGGATCTCGGACGGAGGGGAATGATCCCCACAGCGCTGCTGGGATGGCGCCGTGACCGTCCTGCACGTGGTACAGAAGGTCGAAAAGGCAGGCCAACTTGCCCGCGCGCCTCCTGTGCTCGATCTTTGAGCCGAGCCCGATGCCACGGATGGCGCCCGCCCCCATGGCTTGGAGGTCAGCGCCCGCGGGGATAGCCTCGGGCTCGACGGCGGCCACGTAAGGATGCAACCACGAGGCTTCGTCGATCGGCTCGGCGCCGCCTGTCTGAAACAGGCGCTTATAGGCGTGCAAGGCCTGCAGGAGGCAGTGCAGGTCATCTCTGCCTTCGGGCTCGGCGGCCCCTGCGGGTGCGAAAGACCTCAGCCACGACGCCGCGCTCTGGAAGGCAGCTTGCCAGGCGGGTCCCCACCTCACCACTGTGACCTTCTCACCGCCGAGGTTGAGACGCCACGCTAGGGCGGTGGCGGCCCCTGGAGGCAAGGGCTGCTCAACGGCCGCGGAGGCCGTGCGCCGCGCTGCGAAGGCTGCAGCCGCGGCGCTCCCAGCGTCGCCGCTGTGGGGCCGCTGGGATGCAGCTCGTGCCCTGAATCTCGGCCAGGCGCGGGGCCGCTCGAAGACCCCCTTTCCTCGGCGGCACGCCCTCCGCCCTGCGGGGCCGCAACAGCATCGCTGGAGGAGCGCGTGCCTACCGAAGACGGAGGGGCCTGAGCAGCGGAGTCCGCGCGGGAGCTGCCTGCGTGGGCGTCGCCCGAGCTCGCATCATGGCGGGGCGTGGCTGGCCGCTGCGCAGTAGCGGGGCTCGGGCGCCGCTTCGGAGCGACTCGAGGGGAGCGCACCTCGCGACGCCGAGGCGACGTCGCCTGACGCGAAGGCGCGCGAGAGGAGCCGCGCGCGACGGCCCGACTAAGCCCCTGGCCTGCGGTCGACGCGCGGGATCGCGACGCCGCACGCCCACCAGAGTGGTGAGGGGGCGGCGGCGGCGGCGGGGGCACGGGCCGCGGAGTCTCGGAGCCTAGACGCGTGCCGCGGCCCCGAGAGCGACTGCGAGCCGAGGCCCGAGCGGCGGGCGGAGAGGCCCCCGAGCGGCGAGGGAAAGCCGCCTGCAGGCGGCGGAGGACCTCGGGGTTCAGGCCCGCCACGACGCGCTCGAGGTCCATCGAGGAGTCTGCGAGGGCACTCAGCACGACGTCCTCGAGCTCCGTCGGAGAGTCCTCGTCGCACGCGGGCTCCGCTCTCGAGCGGCTGCGAACGCTCGCGGGCGGGGACCCGTCAGGAGTGTGCGGGCCCTCCGATGCCTCCCCCGCAGGCGGCTCCGACGGCTCCTCGGGCGAGATCGGGCCGTCGACGGGAGGCGACGAGCAGCCCCCCGAGGGAGAGGTGCGGTCGGTCCCGTACGGGTTTGGAGACCGCGTACGGCTGCGGGCAGGGCTGCGGCTCCGCGGTGGGGAGCCCACTCCCGCGGCGGAGCTGGGGCGTGCCGCGCCTGCCCAGCGGCGCGCATTGGCAGTGCGACGCGCCCTGCGGCCAGGCGCCGTGGCGGCCCCCCCCTCAGGGGCGGGGAGCGCCGCCATCGAAGCCCGCCGCTGCCTGGCGGCGCGCCTGGTGCGCGCGGCGCCCGTGCGCGAGGCGGAGTGCGGCGCGTGACCACCGCGGTTGGGCTGGTCCTCGACCGCTTCATCCCGCGGGCCCAGGCGGGCGCGGACCGCGCGCCGCTCACGACGGCTGAAGCTGGACGCAGGGTCGTCGGCGGGCCTTGCCAAGGCGCGCGGGTCCTCAGCCTCCACCTCGGCCAAGGAGCGGCCAGTGGACGACGCGGGTGCGTCCCCAGCACGAGCGGCACGTTCTGCGATGGCGAGGCCCGTCGAGACCTCAGCGTTGTGCAGGACGGCGCGCAAGGTCTTGCGCCAATCCCGACCCAGCTGGACGGGAGCAGTGC